CCGGGATGAGCTCAGCGCTCTGCCAGGCCGCCGGCCAAGGAGGGGGCGCCCAGCACCAGGGGGTCCGCGGGTCCATGTCTAGGCCTCCTCAAGGGCACAGCATGGCCTACCCCAGTTACACAGGTCGAGCTACAAGGCTACCTCCTGCAGGGAGCCACCTCGTGTCATGGCTTTCTATCCCTACCCTAAAGCCCAGGCTGGCTGCACACAGATCAGATTCCACCTCAGGCACAGGCAATGGGCAATGTTTGCTGGTGCCAAGAGTGAGCTGGACAAACCTTCAGGCTGTGCAGATGTAGCCCTTGAGGACGGACCTCTCAGTGACACTAGGTATGGCCTCAAAGCATAAGTGTGCAGTGGGGGCCAGCCAGAGCCCAGGGTCTGAAACTGGCAGGCCCAGCCACACCCATGCATTGTCCGACCCCTCTTCTACATGTCCATTAGGATAGCTTCAGATTCAGTTCAGGCGTCCCTTCCTATCCAGAGGCCACATACAGCAGCATCAGTTCAACGTTTGTGCGCAAATCCCAACAGGAGCTACACCTTACACCTGAGTCAACATACACAAACCTCACGGAATGACACTTTTCCTTACTTCGGTAGGTTCTAAAGAGAGAGCTGGGTGTGGTGGTGTATGGCTGTCGTCCCAGCTCAGGAGGATCACCACTAGTCTGAGGCCAGTCTCAACTACATAGTGAGACCCTATCTCAAAACAAAAACAAAAACAAACAAACACACACCAGAGGAAATGGGAGGGAAAGAAAAACGGAAGGTAGAAAGCAAATAGAATAGGGATGAAAGCTCAAAAGAACTTGGTGATAGCTGCCAGATGAGTCTGGTCTACAGTTTAACACTAAGAGCAAGGTGCTCATGTCCTCTGCATGGCTGCTGCACACCCTCCCTCACCACAGCAGCCTCCCGTGGGAGCCCTCCCTGGGGAGGCCACACCAGGGGGCTGAGCTCAGGCCCAAGTCTATGAAGTGGTAGCGCTGGGGTAGACTAAGCTGGGGGAGGCACAGAGAGGGTGTGGCTGTGTGGCTGAGACCCAGGCCCCAAGGCATTTGAATTCTGCATGTACTTTGAACATAGGCCATTCTGTCCTTCAACTTGTGCCAGGAAGGTTTGTGTCACACCAACTGTTCCCCACTAAAGATCTTAATAAAGATATCTTTTCCTTGTGTTGAAATTTCTCTCTCTTTTGAGACAGTGTCTTGCTATGTAGTTGAAGCTGGCCTTGAATCCATTATGTAGCCCAGGCTGGCCTTAGTGTCACAGTGATCTTCCTGCCTCAGCCTCCTGAGGGATGTAATGACAGGCAGGCAACACCATACCCAGCAAGAGATATCTTCATGTACACTTTTCTCCTTCTAACTTCAGTTTTGCTGGGATTGGAAGTTCTACAATGTACATCTCAGAAGCCATTGCTATCCTTAAAGACTCACTTTTCTTATTCTTGACTCAGAGTTGGCTGCTCCCAAGCTCCTTCCCCCTAGTGTACCCCAATCCTACTCTGCTTGCCCTTCCCAGAGATCCCCAGAATGCCTCTCAGAGGACTCCTGCCTGAGGTGTCTCTGTGGCTTTGCCAGGTCATTCCCCAGAGAACTGGGTGCTGGCCAGGTGTGCCATTTCCTGGGGCCCTGGGAGAGCCACCCCACCCCAGAACCCAGTTCCCCTCTGCAGGGTGGGGAGGCTGGTCTCAGGTCTGGTGGGCGGGGGCTTCTGGTCAGCACAGAGCTGTGCTACTATGGGGTTAGACTTGGGCTTTGGGTCCAATGGGTTGGGCACAGGAAGGCTACCATGACTGAACTTCACAGTACCATAGTCGAAGGACCATGTGGTACACAAGGGGGTAGGGGAACCACAAGGCGGAGGGCTGAGGCAGGTGTGCACGGGGCACTCCATCCAGAGAAGGCAGACCTAGAATTCCTTGACCTCATAAGGAAACAGCTGGGATGTGTACAGGGAGGAGTGCTGGGCACACATGCCGCACACAGCCTCCGGGAGAGGGGCCAGCACGCAGAAGGGGGTGTGGAGAGGTGCTGGGGAGCTGGATTCTACCCAAACTGAAAAGTCCATGAGGCAACTGCTGATGGCCTGGAGCCCACTGTCGTCCCCCTGCCATATACTGTCTTCTCAGCCCAATGAATACTTCCTCTTGCTACGGACACAGCAGGGTGTGGTCTTTGAGACCCAGCCAAGTGAGTGTGGTGATGCATGCCAATAATCCTAACATCCCAGAGGCTGAGGCAGGAAGAACGCCTGGAGTTCCAGGCCAGCCTGGCTACACAGTGAGTTCAAAGCCAGCCTGAACTACAGAGCGATACCCTGTTTCAAAATAACAAATAAATAAAAAATAAACCCTAGCCAACAGCAACCCTTCTTCATTAGGATCTTTGTGTGTGAAAACAGGGTTCTGCTTCCTCACCATTGCCTGAGTGGCTACCCCATCAAACTTCTGTGAAAAACTGGCTTGTGATGCTCAGCAGTGCCAGCCAGCCAGAAGAGGACCCAAGCTCTTGGCACTTTTTTGGTGTTACCAGGTATCCCAGGCTCTGGTCTCTTCATGCTTCCTTCAAACCTCTGTAGCAAGATCCAGACTCCTGCTCACTGCTAGGGTGCAAGCCTGAGAAAAAATCCTAGAAGACAGAACTAAAAGAGACAGTACCAGGGAGCCTGGATAGCCAATGCTAAGCGCTAGTCTGTCCAAGCCATTTTTATTGGAAATCAATTGGGGCAAAGGCAAGTTATGCGCAAAGACAGGACTACATGTGTAGTCCTGCAGTTTCTGTGGAAACGAGTCGAGGCAAGGCTCCTAAAGGACAAGATAAAGCAGTCTCAAATTAGGAACAGAATAGATAAAATACATGGTTGAGATTAGAACATTGTCTTTCTAGTCAGAAAGTTTTAGTTGTGGGAATAGAATCTGGGTGTGAGTTACTCTGACCTCGGCACGTAGGCTTCAACCGGACTCACTTCTATAAACAGCCAAATGTGGGGTTACCTCTTTACAGTCTGCACCGCTTACAGCCTGCTCTAGGCATAATCAGTATTTCGGTCCCCTGCACTGGGCTTGGCCCCACAGCCCGGCCTGGAGGCCCGCAGACGTTGCATAGTTAGGCGGCACCGCCGTCCGCCTGCTCGCACCACAGAGCGCGCTGTGCCGCTGCCCGCGCAGGCGAAGGCT